TATTTGTAAATAAAAATATAGCATAAAAAATAAAACACAGACTGTACGTGTATCATGTCTATAGTTATAATAATAGGTAAATCTGAGGATTTTTTTCATCAATCTTTTTTGGCAGAAATATCTATTCTTCAGCAAAATCAAAATAATAAATATAAATGCCTGAAGTACACTACCTATGACATATTTATTGTAATTTTTTGAGAAATTAGCAGAACTCAAAGATATCAACAAAAATAATCAAGTGTAGGGGTTCTGATTTTGTTTGATTGTCTGATACATGTAGGTGTCAAAAACCAAGGTGTGATTGGATGCCAAACAGAAAAAAAGACTTAGAATAGCCTATTAAATGTTATTATCCTACCTGCTCATGGAATAAAATGACTTTTGATCAATTTGAAAGAGTACTGATCATATTTTTTCAATGATATTCTTATTATTCTATGGAATAGAAATTTGTGAATTTTGCAGTGCTATGTCAGATGGATACTTTATTCTGTATGACCAAAATGTATTTTTCGACAAATTAAGTAGAATACATTTGATATGTTAATAATTAGGGGGATTATTGACATTGCAATGAAAAAATATCAGATGCATAAAAGGAGGGGGTGTATTAGACCATTCTGTAACTTAATACATGTAGTAAAATGCCTCTTAATGCAGTCGAGATTTCTGAGTGAGAAATAGTATTGGACATTTTTGTCATACAATATATTTTTTAGAAATCTATAAGAAAACATAGAATTTGTTTGCATGAAAGTAATCAAAAGGGATCATGTTGCAGAATATTTAAATGTGTTTTTTTTAATTACATTTTTGTTCATGTATCTATTGTTGAAATATAAATTCATATTTTAATTTTGATAAGGAACTTTCTATGGATAATTTCAATATTGGTTTAATTACATGTTTTATTGCGAGAGGAGGGGGGGGGGTAACTCTTCCAAGTTACTACTCTATATGTACTGTTATTTCATAAAAATATTTTCTTTAGTCATTTATTAGCAATTGATTTTTACTTCTAATTTATTTCTTCAGTTGTTTTTTCCTAATTTGCTATGCATTTTTTTGAATAGCCACTTTAATCGTTATTCTTACCTTTAGGATGGGAACCCAAGAAAGGGGGAGGGGGAGTTGTGGACCATCTGGTACCTTTATTAGCCCTCAATGTGACCAAGATTTTTTGAGTGAAGAATAGCATTATACAGATCTTTCATATAATGATAAAAAATAAAAATTCTATTGGACAGATTTTTTTTAGAATTTAAAAAGTGTCAAATTTGTGTGCATGAAAATGGCCAAATTGTTCGAATTTCAAATGTTCTACATGGATTATTCTCTTAATTTATATATGTTCAGACAATCCATTGTTTAAATAAGTTAATAGTATCAATATTGTTTAAAAAGAATTTTTAATATTGAATGCATATTGCCTAATAAATTTTTTATGGGTAATATTATCTTGTATTATGATTTTTGGAGTGACTGGAAAGGGGAGGTAACTCATTACCCCCTGGTTCCGTAATTAACCCACAATGCCACGTTCATATTTCGACTAAATGTTCATTACACATCCCTTTACATCTTGTGAAAATTTCAACAAAATCTATTGACAGGTTTTTTTGGGGTCAGTTGTCCTTAGCTACCTTAAATAGGCCTATTCGAATATATATCAGCATTTTATCAGTAATTTGTTTCTTTTTTTTTTTTTTGTAAGGGGGGGGGGGATCACACAGCACCTTATTATAGTACTACACAGATTAATACAAATCCAGAAAGAGACTATGAGTGGGCAATTAAAAAGAAATACGAATCAGTTAAGATTTCTTTTTATTCACAAACACAATAACATTTTTACATATGACAGAGGCATTACACCATGAACATGTTTACATCAAGAACGTCCGCGGAAGTGACTTTATTTTTAGCGCATGCGTATTAAACACAGTAAAAGAGTTTCCTTCAGGGGAAATAACTCACCTTTTGAAAATGGGGAATATATTTTGCCAAAAAACTAATTCAAAAGTGTTTTTCCCACCGATTTTATTTTTGAAACAGAAAGATGAAATATTTCTATATTTAGTTCAGCGTGAATTTTAGTCCTGTTAAAAATGCATTGGAAGTTACAGTTCTTTGTTTCTGACCTAAATTCAATGGTTTATATAGGAGAACTCAGTAACACGAAAGAAACGGATATTTTACTAAATAAGTAATTTTCAAACAAATCTTCGATTACATTATTCCATTTGGACTACATTGATATTGTTTTAAATAAAATATCAAATATTCCTCACATTCGATGTGCCGCCTATCAATACAATACTGCCTGGTTTTCCGGTGGACTGCCTCTTAAGAGCATGCTCTCCCGTATCGAATCAATTGAGATACATAAACTCCGTATGCAGGAGATGAAGTTATACTGCAGCATTTGAAGAATATAATAAACAAGATTGTTGATGTTACTTTAGACTTCATACATATCAGATATTATAAAGTGAAGGCACCCATACTTTATCCACATGAAAGAAACAACGCCCAAAAGACAGAAGACTTGGTTTTTGATGGTTCCCATGCTCATTCTGCAAAAAGATATCATTATCCATGCATACTATCGTTGAGATTAAGGCAGTTTCTGACAAATGGACTGTTTTTGTTGGAAAAAATATCCTGCATGGTAAGAAATATAAGAGTCTGAAAAAATTTAAAGCTTCTCTGACAGAACATGTCACGTGACCGCCAATATCACGTGATAGGCATATGGGCAGAATGATTGCAGTTGCGCATTAAAATGGAAGAGGACTGCGTTGAAACATTTTCAGCCCTGAAAACTTTTACCATTTCTTTTTTTGAAAGTTATTCAATTAGTTTGCGAACTTTTTGATTATCCCTCCTATAGCATACTTTTTCTTCAAGGATATTAGCAACAATTACTGAAAGAGATGTGCAATCATCTTAATATAGGACTGTTGTAGAGTTTAACCAGATCAAGTGACTTTACATTATTAATATATGATAGATATCATGTATGATGCAATTTATAAAAATCCTCGCGCACAAAGCAGCGCGACAATAGAGTAAATTTAATTAAATTAAATTAATTAAATTGTCAATCATCATACACAAGTAAAAGAAAATGCATTATTTATCAAGGAAGAATATTCATTGGGAATACTTCAGAATAATTGAGTAAAATTTTAAAAATTCACATTTTTACGTTATTGTTTTCAACAACGTCAACGCTGATCGTCATCCACGTAGCATGTGGTAAGACTGTTTAATTTAGAGTCTTGGAGTATGGAGTTGATTCGTAATTTGCAGGTTTGAATCCTCCTACAGAAAGGCTAGGTGTAAGGCTAATTTTACAACCCGCCTTCAACAACTAGTGTCGTTTCAATATGAGTGAAAACGTTAAACAAAGAAATCAAATCTGATAGACCTCAATTTCCTTTTATAACTTATGAATATTTGATAATGCTCTATTTTTGGTGCAAAAGTAATGACATTTAATTTTCCTCATGATATAAACAAATAAATAGAGACAATGAGAATAAAGCATGCATTAAAAATTCTATTACAAATGCATTTTAAACACGTAAAATTTCATTTAAAAAGGCCAGGCAAGGTGTACATTAGTCATGAAAGTGAAAGAACATATAGGCTAATATACAGACCGTATAATTAGGTGAACTACATACAAAACGTCATATCTAATGTGCACAAAAATGTAAACAAGCCAAACATTGCAATTGAATTCTAGTTTTACTTAAACAAAACCGTCTTGCCATATTATGTATTTTTTTTACGAGTTACGATTTACATGTAATAAGAATGACACTTTACGTTTTATTCAAAAGATTTTTCACGTATGAAATAGAAAGTATAGACGCAGTTAATGTCATTCCACATTCCGATTTCTATGGGGCGCCGTTTTGGTATTTACTGCCAAAAAGTGATATCACCTATTCGAATAGGTGATATCACTTATTCGAATAGGTGATATCACCTATTCAAATAGGTGATATCACCTATTCATTTTCAATAGGTGATATCACATATTCGAAAAGGTAATATCACTTATTCGTATAGGTGATATCACCTATTCGAATAGGTGATATCACCTATTGGAAATGAATAGGTGATATCACCTATTCGAATAGGTGATATCACCTATTCGTGCTGAATAGGTGATATCACCTATTCGCATAAGTGATATCACCTATTCGAATAAGTGATATCACCTTTTCGAATAGGTGATATCACCTAATTTGAATTGGTGACATCACCAATTCAAGTAGGTGATATCACCTATTTGAATTTCTTACAACATTAAATAATGAATGTTCCCTATAATATGTAGATTACCACTGGAATCAAGAAAATTCGGACTTCCCAGTTTTTATGCTTTTTTCCGAGTTTTTCCATTTTTTTCTAAAGTTTACTTGATAGATAAGTGTAATAAATAAATTTGTAAGCAAAACAAACCACAATTTCTATAAGGGTTGATAAAAATTATATGCAAAGTCTCTTAGAATGATGAGTTATAAAACGAAAGTGAAAGTAAATAAGATTTAGGCACTTAGGGAGCTGTTGTTATTTCATAAATAATTTGAATAGGTGATATCACCTATTCGTGCTGAATAGGTGATATCACCTATTCGAATAGGTGATATCACCTATTCAATTTGAATAGGTGATATCACTCATTCGAATAGGTGATATCACCTATTCAATTTGAATAGGTGATATCACTCATTCGAATAGGTGATATCACCTATTCAAATAAGTGATATCACCTATTCAAATCAAATAGGTGATATCACCTATTCGAATAAATGATATAACTTATTCGAATAGGTGATATCACCTATTCAAAATCTGAATAGGTGATATCACCTATTCGAATAGGTGATATCACCAATTGAATAGGTGATATCACCTATTCGAATAGGTGATATCACTTTTTGACAGTAAATACCAAAACGGCTCCCCATAGATTTCCCCTTGTGTCTTGGAGATTTCAACGCAGTCTTCATTGCCTCTTATGTCATTTTGTTCCTCACTGTTCCAGTCCGTGAACATCAAAGAACTTCCAGTGGAGGCCCAGACAAATGTTCCCTCTATTATTTTATCTGTTCCACCGATCCAAAAACTGTCTTTAAGGTAAATGAAGTAGAATGCTACATTAAATATTTCAAAAATAAGATAAGATAAAATGAAATAAGATCTTACTTTTAAATACATGTTCATACCATAGTCACTATATCTGCTGATTCTTTGTTTCAGAAAATCGTTTTCTTCCTTTGTCTCTATCTCGACTAGTTTTGCACCACACCGTAGACACTCCATCTACAATTTTCGTGTAAGAATGACAAAAAAAATGACAAAAGTTTGATTTTAAATCCACAAGCAATTAAAATCTATGATGAGGATATGAAACCCGGACCCCCGCACCTCTTTCATGATGGTTTCAGGTTTGCATAAGAGGTAAGCCTTCTTTGACGAGCGGTAAAGGGTTCTTCGGATGAGACCTTAATAACCGAGGCCCCGTGTCAGCAGCAGCCGTTGGCACAATAAAGATCCTTCACTGCTCAATGGCCCTGACTGCCAAGTAAAGGTTAAAATTTTAAGCCCTTCACCGGCACACGGTGACGTCTCCATATGAGTGAAAAAATCTCGAGAGGGACGTTAAACAATATACAATCTATCAACCAATCAACTGACCGGTAACACCCATCGTGAACCCTGTATTTTGATAAGATTTGCGATTTATTCCATGGAAAAGTTAGCATTAACCATGTTAACATTATATAATTTTAATTAAGTAAAACTATTAAAATAGGACGATAAAATTGAATGTATCTCTTACAGAGAAGCCATAAAGATTATAAAATTAGGGAAATACTGAAAACAGTTTTCAAATATTTTGACATTTATTTAGCTAGCAATAATTTTAAGTTATTACGAGAAGATGCTTACAGCTGCTTTGTCCCACGAATGCGCATGTGCACTGATATTGTAACACGAAGATCCAAATGATATCCAATTTGATGGACACGACTTTATAGACATATCTAAATGTAAGAAAAAAAGAAAAAAAAAATATGCCAAATTAATATACTCGTTGCGTTATTTTTGACTAAGAATCCACTCTGCGTCAGCTATTGATTTTAAAATAAATGTTCACCTAAAAAAATATTAGTTTTGAATTTTAATGTTGCAGTTTGCAGTTGAGTACGGATTATGACTAGAAGACAAAATATGTTTTTGTGAAGATATTTATACTTGAGAAAGGTATATATATGGGGATGATCGAAAGATTCGCAGCACAAATAAATCTTATTTATATTGTTTTAATGAAATTTAAGTAAGGATAATATCCCATGTACAAAATTCATTTTGTGAATATGTAAGGTTTTATTCTATTTTATTTAAAGGAAATTTTGTTAATGAGTTTTTAAATCAACATATTGTATCATTAAACACCTACCGTCTAGATTTTCTCAAAATAATCCTCTCTATACACTTCACACAACACAAGTATGTCGTAATATTTACTCATTGAGATAATTCTTTTTTACTTTATTGTATGGTGCCAAAAATTAAAGTACTCTAATAGATTAATTTTAGGTGTCAATGTTTTATCATTTTTACTGCATAATCTATTTTTCTATTGACAAACACACACATAGACACAACTACATTTTAAGCGGTTAGCTATAACGTATTTTCTAATCGCTTTATAGAGAAACACCGAGATCTAACAAACAAACAAAACCAAAAAAAGTCTATGGTATTCACGGTTGGATTGTTCAATTCTTTAGTTTTATTGGGATTTCGATAGATAAAATCCCCACCAGATACCTCAAATGTACGTTTTGTCGTGGTCGCTACCGACATTTAAACGACTAAAGGGGTTCGAGAAGGGAAATGAAAGAAAAATTTTAAAAATGTCATTCTGTGGCATGAAATTAAAAAAAAATAGTATGTGCTGATCTAGTAGGGGTCGAAAGAGCGGGGGGCGTACTTTACGAAGGGTGGTCGGGAGAGTTAGGAGTTATGGTCTAAAATTAAATTGCCTAAACTTTAAAGAAATTCTTGTTCAAAATACTATATGCTGCGGAAAATAAAATCAATACGGCTTTAATACACATGTATTATAGCCATATCATAAATCCAGGGGGATGCCCGTTCGTAATTTGTCGGTTGATTAAGCTTCTTTTTACAAACATGTATCTTAAATTTTTTTTCTGATTTTTCATATGAAATACATTGTAAATATGTACTAGACGGTTAATTTTTAAAAGTAGACAAATATGCATATCTTGGGACCCAGTATATATATGCATATTGGAGGTGGGTATGGGGATATAGTCTGGTCTACAAGCACTTGTGATAAGCATATTGTGTGCACATACTTTTGAAGGATGCCATGACAACTATTATTCCAACTTTTGAAAGTCCGTATATATTATTGTCTGTATTCTGGAATCAATCTTTTTCTCTGGTTTTACAACAGGATGGTGATTTTTTTTCCTTACAAATAAAGCAAGTTATAATTTCGGTTATAGTTTTTATATGTATATTGGATCTTCTGTCAAAATAACTCTGTGTGTCGTCAAAAGTATAAAGCATATCTTCTAATTTTATATTTTGACGAATTATGCATGGTTACAAAACAATGACGTTTGAAGCATAACTTTAAGACAAAGAAAAGAACTTTACTATGAAAAATGCACCACCCTACATAAATGCATGTTTTAAGCCTTTTTTATAATCCCCACATATAAACAGATATACATGTACACACTGTTGTATATAGGAACGAGGTTGAGGGGTTGGGGATAAACCCCCCCTCATAATGAAGTCGATAAAAAAAACAACGTTATATCGGTATTTTACAAAACTTAGGCACTGTATACTTGTGGCCCCTAAAAAAATCTTTTATTTTGGTTTCCCAACGAATTGTTTGGTAGTGACTCTAAACCTTTGGTTGTGCCCCCCCCCTCCCAACTGAAATTGCTTGCTTCAAGCCTGTTTCATATATATAAAATAAAAGCAGCCCAAGCTATTTTAGTTAAGATCGCCATTTAATACATCATCTTAGAAGATATTATTAATCATGAATGCTAGTTTATTTCTTTGAAGTGGTATTTAAATAAATTTAAAAAGAATCTCTCTCTCCCTCCCTCTCTCTCTCTCAATACAAGACACTTTATAAAGCGCACTACCTATTTACTTGATTGCACGGAATCCGATTTATTTTTTTTTCAAGCTGTAAAAAGTAGCCTTTCCCCATATGAACAAGGCGCTCACTACGAGTAGTTTGTATACGCTTCATCACTGACGCATGACAAACGTGTTTCCAAATCCGTTTTACAGTGTTTTATTTGTTCGCTTTTTTAAAACATTGCAAGTGATTACAAAAAATCTGACATGAGCAACTTCCTAATAGAAAGTGGTTAAAACACCATCCGTTCTATTTTACACATATACTTATTTCTTCCCATTTTAAACTTTATATGGAAACAATCACTGGTCCCGAGAAAACTATCGAAAAACGGGATGTTAGAGAGAGTTGCGTTCGTGCGTTAAATGTCCGTGTTTCTCTTATGGCACGAAACCAAAACCGGAAATTTCCATAAGACGCTACCTATCGGCATCTGAGGCCTGTTCAGCACAGCGAACGTTCGCGAGCACTCGCCGAAATTCCTTATTGCTAGCGCTCTCGAGCGCTAGCAACTACGTTAGTCCAAATTCCTTGAATACGCATGCTCGGCTGCCATGGTCGTGCATTCTTCACTCGGATTTCCTCGGATGACTCGTACCTCGCACATAACCTCGGATGTCAACCGTGATCTACCATCTTGCTGATTCAGTCATGTGATCTTATTTGAATTTCTTTCAAATATCATACATTTAAAATTGGAGTTATTTTGTGGCTCAGTCAACAGTTTTTTCTTGGTTTCAAAGCCTGTTAACATTAGGATGTATATGCCTTTCAACTAATTTTTCAAGTTGCACATATGGTAAAAAACATTGTATAGATAAATTTATAGGTACATAAAATTATCAAAAAAGATAATAACTTGTGCATACTTTTAATTACCTCATTAAAAAGTTTAATCATTTATACTTGACTTTTCCGATGTTGTGTGTAAGGACAGGTAACTCAGGTGTGAAAAATGACCAACTTAGTCCCGATTTATGAGTTATCGTTTATAAGAATGACATAAAGGCTGCTTCAGCATTGGTATTGTTACATACACAAAAGGGTTCCTTACATTGTTTTGTTCACAAAAAAAGTTTTGACCAAGAGAAAGAGAATGCCTTCTCTCTACCTGAAATAACAGGATCAAATGAATGGGGAACAGACTATATTCAATAGTTTAACTCTCTTTGACGATTATTATGAAGAAGAAAAAATTTAATGTCGTGTTTTTTGTGTTCGCGCTTTTTCGCTTCCTATGTAGATATATAAATTTTTACAAGTAAATGCAACAATTGATCATCTTATTTGTATTACTAAGCACGAAGGGGAACGACCGAGTATAGAAATTTAAATAGGTTAGAACTAAGAAGGAGGGTAGATTTCACTTTTTATTTTAATCAAAAGTTTTAATTATTTGCAGTAAACCGGTGTCCGAAACTATGCAGTAAATAAGTTTAACATTGGTGCTAAATTTTAAAACCACTAGATTCTACTGAAAGCAAAGAAACACCTGAGAAATGCTAAAAACTGCCTTGGGTATAAACAGTTAGATACCCCGAGCCTGCTCTAAACAAGTTTCAGCAGTGAGTTATCGTTCATAACACCCACCCCTAGCGGCAGTTGAAAGGCCTAGGATGTATTCAAAACCTGTTTACGATAAAGAATTGCATAAATTAAGAAACATTTTCGAAGAACGTTATGCAGAGCGAAATATGAAATGAGTGATGAGGCAGTTTTCGGCGGAGAAATGTAAGGGTATGGAAATAACGAATAGTATTCAATCTCAACGTCCATTAAGCAAATATACAAAATAAGTGTTGCGTATTCCTCCACCAATCACATCCGAGGTTTGAATGGAGCGGAGCGGAGTCAGCCGAGGATTGCCGATTGTGCATTCTTGGAAAACTGTGAAAGACTACTACAGATAGACCGTACGATAACAATTTCGTTGTATCATGTTGTAGCATGAAATAATTGTTTTTTTAGTGTAACTTACATTTTAAAGATAACTTCATATTAAAAATATATCAAATTCTGTTTTTTTTTTTTTTTTTTTTTTTTTTTTTTTTTGCTGACGGAAAAGCCTGAATCATTATCTGATTGCTCTAATCAATGACAAGGGAGGTTGGTTTTTTTAAATCCAAACACAATCAAAGAAAGATTCTAATTTCTGATTGGCCAATTCAGCCAATCTTACAAATTCCAGAAACAGAGGCAAGAATTTACACTAAAAATAACGAATAAATCCACTTTTTGTGTTTAAAAAATTCTGAAATGTATGGCTTTTAACCTAATATATCTCGACAAAGATGACCCAAAGGATCAATTAAGCTACTTCACATGCGTTCAAAACTCTCTGGCCTCTTTACACGACATAAACTTTGAGTTATTTTCTATATCCCTTTCAGCACCCATGTTTTTTCTTTGCTACATTGCCAAGAAATTCTTTCATTAAATTAGCTCATACATGCAATGTCTCAATCGGCATCTTCTTTATATCATATAGAGCCCCCTTCTCCATTAAAGGTCATATATGTTCCGTTGGGCCAATAGGTCATACCCCCCTTATTTCTTAACCTTTGTGTCTACAAAATACGCCTCACAGAACAATAATAACTTTATCACTCTCCAGCCTTGATAAAAATTAAAGAATTCAGCAAAATAAAACACTTGGGCACTGATCTTTCTTTCTGTGTTTAAAAAATGCTACGGCGCTAGCTCACTTATCTTTTTAAAAGATGAACTTAAATGTTTTTAATATTTTTCAAGGAAAAGCCCCTTCTTATCTTAATGAACATTTTATAATTCGGTCAAATGTTAGAAGCTATCATACTAGATCAGTCTCAAATGCAGATTTT